ATTATAGTCCACTGTTGATCAAAACATCATTAACTGCACATGATAGTATTTGCACAATAAGAATGGATAAATTCTATAAATCAGTGATTCTCCTGGGAATGATTAGCCCTAATAAATAGTTGAAGGAAATAGGAGGAGGATAAGAGGTTTTTAAATTTGTTTTGAAATTTTGTTAATATTTTTGTGTCTCACAAGGGCCTCAGACTAATAAATAAAAAGTTTGAATTTGAACCTAGTGTTGAATATATCTGAAGCTAACTTCATTTTTAGTATACACGCCACCTTTCTATGAAGATTAATTACTGTACCTTACTCAAATTATTTTCTTTGCCTGCATCATGATATCAGTGTGTTTGTGAGGATAATAAAAACTAACTACAGTTAATTAGCTGACCATTTATGATTGAGAAATAATTCATCTTAAGCTTCTAGACTGAAAAAAAAAGACCAGTGAAAATCAAAATAAAAAGGGCTAACTGCAGCTTAATTCTATTTATTTTATTCTTTTTAAAAATTTTTAGTTTTATTTATGTTTTTGCTATATGGTGCATGAGCTTTCCAGAGAGAGATAGAGAAGGAGAAAAGAGGGAGAGTGAGAAATCATCCCCAGGAAGATGGCCACACTGCAATCCCTTTTCCTCCATTCTCCTCTTGGGATTTTGGGCATGCATACACACACATCACACACACATATGCACACACATGCTCAGTGTGTTTTTTCAAGCTGCCGGGTCCAGGACTCAAACTGTGATGTTGTCCATGTGGAATCAAACCACCTTAACCATTAAACCAGCAGCTGGCCCTGGAGCTCAATTTTAAATGGAAAGAAAAAAAGCGAGCAAAAAAGAAGATAATAAATGAAGGAGGCTATATTCTGTTAAGTAGGAAATTGCTAAAAATTAGATATGTGGGACATCTCTGCATTACTTAAACAAAATGTGAGAATATTGTTTCAACACAGAAAATGTTGAGTTTTATGTCTCTAATTTGACATTTATCCCTCAAATAAACACTGTTGAAAATTACTCGTTATTTATACAATTTTGTCCTATTTTGCAAATTAAAAACATATATATTCCAAACACATGCAGAGTTATGCAGAATTATCCCTGTGCAGACAACCATACGAATGCTAATACACACATCCCCTAAAATGGAAGCTTGCAATGTGTGAAAGATGGAGAGGGAGATGAAATTGACCTCTACGGAGCAAATGTTTCTCAGCAATAGCCCTAATAGCTCAAAAATGGTCACGCTTAACAGATATGAAATGAAACACTATGCTAGAAACTATAGTTACATGCATTAAGGCACACACATATGAAATCTCACTGCCATGCTGAAGATGAAAATGTGACAACTAGGTTACCATGGAGACAGAAGCAGAGACTCCAGCTACTAACTCTGAATACCAATTAGCAGCTAGCACTTCTTAATGTTGCTAAAATTGGTTGCCAGGGAAACTCCAAGGATTGGCAGGGATTATCAAATTAATTACAAGTAAAATTTTAAAAATACGGATTTTTTAGAATTTTATGGATCTTAATGTAAAGAAATTACTATTGGGATTCATACCGCTCTTTGGATAGTATTTATTATTTATCTGAAATTCTTCCTCTGTCATTCCCCTTCCCTTTTTTATTTTTAGATATATTCCTAAGCAGAGACTGAAATGTATTTTTTAATATTTTTATGCATGCTTCCAGCAAAAAGTAAAGGGAAATTATCATCTAGCAAGACATTTTATTACATACATTTTTATATACCTAATCATATATATATGTATATATATATCTTAAATTACATCTACACAAAATGATTGATCCCTTGATAGCTACATTTTATTAAGCAACCTTTTTTTTTTTAATATTTTTTTTCCTAGGGCCTGCTCCTTAGCCTAATAGTTAAGTGAGTTGGGTCCCACATGGCCAATTGCAGTTCAAATCCCAGCTCCAGGGCCTTGAAAAACACTCTGGGCACATATGCACACATGTCCAAAATCCCAACAGGGTGGAGAAATGGAGAAGGGACCGAGGCATGACCATGCTTCACTGGAGGGTGCTTCCTCCTTCTCCCTCTTTTTCTCTGTGTCTCTGTCTTTCATTTATTCATGATAGAGCATGTGTGTGTGAACGCAAGAACAAGAGTAAGAGGAATACCCTCTACAGGGTCACACCATTTCTTCTAATCTGCTAACTTGTGGGATCTTGGATATTTGCATGTATGCCTGGCATGTTTTGGACTGACTTGGCCAGAAATTCAAACTGTGGTCATCACGTGGGATCTGGCTTCTCTTAAGCAATGCATTACAGCTGCATCACAGAGCTGACACTGATTGTGTTTTATTAGGATCCCTTTGGCTGCTGGTGACAAGTTTGGAAGCTACTATAACAACCCATGGTGGACAGGCTGAGGAGTGGGGTAGGTGGACCATAGCAGAGGTGTTGGGAAGTGATCAGTAAACAGTCTCAGGAAATGACAGCTATTATAATGCTCTCTGACATTGTCTCTTTAAACTGAATTAATCATTAATTTAGATAGGTTGGTTTCCTACTTGTGACCAGTCAATTCATGGGAAACAATCAAGGCTATTTGTATGGTAATGATGATTTACAATAAATTACTTCCCAGTTATTTGTTTTCCTTTCAATACTTTGCCACTATTTACTCATAGCGCTATAAAAAATTAAGCAATATGGCCAGCTGTGATGGCACAGAGGTAAAGCAACACTCTGGGATGCTGAAGCCACATGGGAAGGTCTCAGGTTCACAGACCAAGTTCTCTGAAGGAACATACATCCCACGATCCTGGCTACCTAAAGCTGTGGGTTGATCTTAGCATAAAGACCCTGTTGGCGGCTCACTCCTGCCAAGAAGGAATACATTAAGTTTCCTTTTGAAAATGAGTAGAAGGATTTATGTTAAAAAAAGAAATTGGGCCAGCAGCAGTGGCACAGTGGTAACACAACACACTGCGATATTGAGTCCACATGAGAAAGCCCTGGGTTTGTGTCCAGATGTCTCCCTGTACATGTTCTGTACATGGATGCACATACCCATGATCCTGGCTGGCTGAGGCTGGGCATGGATCTCAGCATGAAGACCCTCTTGGAGTGCTCTCTCTCACTTTCCCTCTCCTTTCTCTCTGTGTCAGTCTCTGATGGAATAAATAAAATAATAAATAATAAGTAATATAAAAAATAGGTAAAATATCTGAATAAAAGCTATAAAGTAAAATCACTCTTTTAAGAAAGGATTTTTTCCCACAATGTCTTGTTGCCTAAAAACTACATATTGATGTAACACCTGAGATTTTTATTGAAGAAATTCCACAAAATATATTACTTGTGGCAGTCTTTTAATAAAATGCAATGTATTAATGCCACAGAACATTTTATGGAAGTTTTTTATTTTTTTTTTTGGTTCTCAAAGCTTTGCTTCTGATATACATTTCCTCATGAGAGATAAGAGGGTGTTCTCGAGACCAGCAGTTAGTGTAATGGCTATGTCGCTGGACTCCCATGTAGTTGACTGCAGTTCGTGTCCCGGACCCAGCAGCTTAAAACTCACGCCGGGCGTGTGTGCATGTGTGCCAAGATCCTGAGAGGAGAATGGAGGAGAAGGGATCGCGGCGTGGCCATCCCCCTGGGGGGTGATTTCTCACTTTCTGTCTCTCTATCTCTCTCTGTCTGTCTGGCGAGTGTACGCGCCCTATAGCAAAAACCTCTCCAAAAAAAAAAAAAAAAAAAAAGAGGGTGTTCTCTGTTCCTTAATGAGAGGAAGTAAAGATTTGTCAAATATGACATCCTTGAGCCTTCAGCTGAGTCTCTGGTTATTTCCTGAACCTTAAATAAATCTTCCTGGAGTCTAAGAACTAATTATATTCCATATATATACTTGGTTTTAAAAATATACAGAAGAGAATGTATATCACATTCATGGTACCAGCGTTCTAAGTTGAGATATTCCTTTGTCACAACAATAAGGAGAAAGTAAGGAGTATGGCTTTTGTTCCAATAATTAGAATAGCAGTTAATGGAAGTATAACATTTACCTCATGCTAGGGACAATTATTAGTGCCTTAAATCTGTAAATTCAGGAACCAGCGGGTGGCATAGTAGTTAAGGTGCTGAACTTACACATGGGAAACTGTGGATCAAGTCCGGGAACTGGCATCTTTAACCTCATGCCAAGCACATGTGTGCATGTCCAAAATCCCAGGAGGAGAATAAAGGAGAAGGGATTGCAGCATGGCCATCCTCCCTAGGGGGTGATTTCTCACTTTCCCTCTCTCTTTTCAGTGATCACACACCCCCTATGGGAAAAACCTAAAAAAAAAAAAAAAAAAAGGTCTCTCAATTTATATATAGTAATCACTACAAGTCTATGAACTAGGTTACTGGGATCACTCCCGCTATACAACCAAGGAAACTGACGCACAAAGAGATTTAGTAATTTACTTGAGGTTGATAAGTGGTAGAGAGTCAAACCAGTACAAAGTTTCTCATGAACCACTTTATTGCACTGTCCAGCAATATATATGTATATGTATATGTATATATGTATATTGCATATTGCAATGTGTGTGTGTATATATATTTTTTGAAATATTATCCTATGTTGTTGTTCTTAGACTTTTTCTTTTCCTTTCCTTTTTTTAAGTTTTTTTTTTTTTTTTGCCATAGGTTTCATGTACTCACTAGAGAGAGAGGGACAGTGAGAGAAAAAGTGAGAAATATCCCCTACCCACCTCCCAGGGATATGGCCATGCCATGATCCCTTCTCATCCATTCTCCTCTTGGAATTTTGGGCATGTATGCTTACATGCCTGGTGTGATTTTCAAGCTTCTGTGTGTGTGGGACTTGAACAGCAATCGACCATGTGGGAGTCCAGTACCTTAACTACCATACCACCTACTGAGCCCCCTCATTTCCATTCCTAAACTTTCCCTTATCTTTACCACTTGCAGTTCAACCTGAAAATGACTTTTATATTCCAGAGACCAAGCCATTATGAATACTTACAAAGCTTTAAAAGATTAAAATAAATTAAAAGACTATAAAATGAAGAGGGAGAAAATGGCTGAACCCAAAGAAATGAGGATGTAACTTTGGCCTTCAAATTAAAAGGTGAGTCTGCTCCACTGAGTCATGAGAGTGAGAAAGTTGAAGTGAGCAGCTGTTTTGGGTTGTTTCTTAGAATCATAGAGAATATAGAATACCCCTAACTTAAATGACATGCACCCACATGCATGGAAGGCTAGGAATGAAGATGAGAAAATTCTTGAAAGCCTTTGATTTAAAAATCCTGAAAGTACAATAGGATTGTGGCTCAAAATAAAAAATAAGGCCCATCCTAGTGGTACAGTTAGTAGCAAACAGAACTACAGTGCTGGAAGCAACACAGCCAACTGTAGGTTTGGGTTACCAACTACTTGAAACCATACTGGGATCAGCAGCTTTATTTGAAACATACCGAGTACATGTGCATGAGTCCCAGAAACTGACAAGCAGAGGAGTTAGGGATGGGAGATCACAATGAAATGAAACACTATAGAAGGTGGTTACTTCTCTCTC